TCTTTCACATCCGCCAGAGCTCATCTGGTGCCACACGGGCCGTGGAGGTGAGTTGGTGTGCAGGGATGACGATTTATGGTGTGTAGCACAGGTTCTAAGTTTTCTTTACCTCCTCTTTCAGGTCGAGGCTTCTGCTTCCAACCTGAACACCAATGATGTGTTTGTGCTGAAATCTCCAAATGGCCTGTTTGTGTGGCGAGGCGTAGGAGCCAGTGAGGAGGAGATGAACGCAGCCAAGCATGTTGTGGGCTTTTTGGGTGGCAGTCCCAGCAATGTGTCAGAGGGCAAGGAGCCAGGTGGGTCTCAAAGTCAACGCATGTAGAGAAAGATGTGGACGATTGAACAAGATTCTTACCAGCCGACCAGCTCTGGTTCCTTCGATGGACAACTGGCAATCAAAGTTATTACAGTTAACTAAAACTAATGAAATAACAAAAAACTGAAATTGAAAGAATATTTTCATTAACTGAGATAAACACGGCAATTAATGGGGAAAAGTAACTAACTGGAATTATATTATGCCTTTATAAAACTAAATATAGATATTTATTTTATTGAATGTCGTTGATGAATCTGTTTACTAGCCTTTCGAACTGATATGACATTGATTTTTTTTCGCTCTCACAAGCAGTTTACCTCATCTATGGGCTAATTACTTTACTCCATACTCCTCCTGGTGGCTACGCTACACTAGTCCACAAAAATTTGACAGCAAAAGTTGGGAGAAAACACGAGTCAGTTGGTTGTTCAACAATAATTTAATACATTTTTTGAAAATAGAGTCTTTTGTTCATTATTTACTACCCAATTGATGTAAACAAAATCACAGTACACAGTACAATACATTGTATAAAATTTTTTATGCAATGTTTTGCGCTGCCTCTGGCACAATTTTTTTCAGCAGGCATTCAAAGTTTTCAGCTTTCGTCTCCTGAATGGCCAATCTGTATTTCTTATATTTAAATACGTTAGTGACGTTATTGGCACACATTTAGCGAAGGAGCTTGGAGACTGTTTAGCCAATCAGGACGCAGAACACAATGCACTGTGAAAAAAACTGCACAAAAAAATCTGAAGCAGCGAGACCACAAAAGGTGAACCGCGTTATAGTGAGGGATCACTGTAATTTATTGCACATATGCTTCAGGTCTGGTTTTGACTAGATACAGATGATTCATCTAGTCTCCAGAGCAAGAAGGCCGTGATTCATTTCCTGTCATGAATACCAACAAGTCATGAACGCCTAACCCTAATCCGTTTTTTAATGGGTAGCGAGATGGGAGCCGTCTTGGTGTGGAACACCAAAACCAAAAGACAACATGATTTCATTCTGAGTTTTATTATGTTGGGAATTGAGGCATGGGGCTAGGAGTGAAAGAAGGACTTAAAGGGGCAGCAACATGTAAAATCAACTTTTTTGAGCTTTAATTCCCTAATCACAAACATACCTGGAGTGTGGCTTTGATTCCTTCATGCATGTTTGAGAAATACCTTAATCTCCATGGCAGCCATTCAGTTGTACAAAACACTTGTTGGACTTAGCCCCGCCTTCGAGGCGCAGCTCCTCCTTAGAGGTGCAGTTTCCAAGCTTCCGTCTTACAGAGCAGCCTTCTCCGGCTCATCTCCTTTAGACTAGCCCATAGCAATTCGCGAACACCTGGTGGAACTTCACATCTGCTGAGCTCATTATATGATCTACTTCTCAGTAAGTAACTTGCTAAAGGGTTAATAGAGGAGCGATGTTTTGATAACTTCCTGAAGGCAGAGTTTCAGAAAGAGCAAGAGTTTGTAAAGAGACAGAGGCCCAATTTCAAAGCTTTAAATTAGGACGTAAAATTTCTTTTAAGTCATATTCATATATATCTCATTTTTACAGCAGCAAAAGGTAACATAGTTATTTAATTGTGCTTTAAAATGGCACCATGTACCTCGAAAACACATAATACTCCCTTTTAACAAATATGCTGACATAACTGTCATGTATTTAGCAAGTGCAGTCACATTTGTCTTGTGCCAGACATCTGACCAGCAGTGCAGCAACAGGTGAGGATGGGGCAGCGCTGTGTTAGTCAGTGCTCAAAATGAGAAAGCTCTGGTCATTCCAGTGATTTTTTAAGTGTCTCACTGCCTGAGGACTTGAACTCATTGGACTAGCATAAAGAAAAATCACATACCTTCAAGCAAGTAGAGCGTTGGTTTCTCAGATGGAGCAAACTACTTTCATTTGACGGTTGTTCTTTTCTCTTCCTTTCCAGCTGATTTCTGGTCTGCTCTGGGTGGCAAAAAGGAGTACCAGACGTCAAAGAGCCTGCAGAGCACAGACAGACCTCCTCGTCTGTTCGGCTGCTCTAACAAAACCGGAAGACTTATTGTAAGTAGAAAACAACTTCCTTCATTTTTATCCATAGATGCTAAATATATATTAGTTAAAGACATTTTATCATTGAGCTATAATGCATTAGTAAAACCTGCATGCTGCCAATCTGAGTTTCCATTTGCACTGGTGCTCAGGTGGAAGAAGTGCCAGGAGACTTCACACAGTCAGACCTGGCCACTGACGATGTCATGATCCTGGATGCCTGGGATCAGGTAAGATCAGAGTTTTTTCACTCCTGAAATGTAATTTTAGCACGTAATGCTTCAGAGACGGTGCAGAGTCATGGTTTTGATTTGAGGATCGCACGTGGCTGTAGGCTGCTTGATTGAGCTGTTTACTTATTGTGTCTCTTTCCTCCCCGCAGCTCTTCCTTTGGGTTGGCAATGAGGCGAATGCAGAGGAAAGAAGCGGGGCTCCCAAAATAGGTTGGTTACATTAGAGCTGTAAACAAACACAGAGGGGATTCTCTTCTGTTAGGTGTTCTGAATGAACAGCTGGGGTGGTTCTTAAATGAAAAGTTAATGAAGATGATAAATGTATAATTTTTCAGTCATTTAGGCTCCCTAAAGAATTATCACAAAAGTAAAATTTCACGTCTAAGATGTGTGACAAAAATAGACGATTCTTTTAAAATTGCTGGAAATTTAAGTACAGTGGTTTTCAGATTTTTGTTTGAGAAAAGGTTGCTGTAAGATGTGCTGATTCCACTTACTTTACATCCGTCTTATGTTAGATCCATGTCCAGTAGGGAAGCCTAGACTCTCCCTAGCGTCACATTGTAGCTCCTCTTGCTAACTTCCAAGACATTCTGTGGACAGAATGGATATTCATACTGTGTTCGATTTGTCTTGGAAGTCGAAGTTCAGAGCTGAGCCTTGAGATAACATGCGCGCTTGTATAAATAAACTGAATTTAATTAAGACTGAGCTGAAAACATAATTTTAAACGTCTAGTGTCTGCAGAGTAGAAGCTATAAAATAATGTTTTTTTTCTCTTTTCACCTCTCGTATTGCAGCCAAGGATTACGTGGACTCGGATCCGTCTGGTCGCAAAGGATTGCCCATCACCACCATCAAGCAGGGGGCAGAGCCTCCCACGTTCACTGGCTGGTTCCAGGCTTGGGATCCCAAGATGTGGGACAAGGATCCACTGGAGAGGATCCGGGCCCGTTTCTGAACACAGAACTCCAGCTTTGTCCTTTGCATTCCGACTCCTTATCTTTCAGCTCTCCATGTTGCAGTTTAATTCCTGCTTTATTCAAATACCTAAGTGCCAATAATAATGTTATCACAGTTATCAGATTCGTTCAGTTTACAATCAGAGCTTGTTGCCTTTGTATAGCAAGGGATTATAATACCTACCAAGGACCTCAGGTAAAAAGTAAAACAAAATGAGAAAAACAAAAATAGCACATCCCCTCTGTTTCTGTGTCCTGCCGTCGTCAGTCGACAAACCCCCCATATCTGTTTGTGTCATGTTTAATTTGAAAAGATTGTACAGAACACACTCCAGTTACATCCTACATTTCTTTGTTGAATTTCCTGCTTGTGAATTTTGGGACCCACTGTGTAACATTTGTAAACGCTAAGTGTGTTCGTTCCCATTTTAAACAATCCTGAAATGTTTGCAAATGGCTTTTGAATAAAACTTTGTCGTTGGAACCTTTGGGTCTGTGAACATTTTAAAAGACGTGAAATTCAAATGTCACCGAAAAATCTGATTCTGCAACATCTGCCTAAAAAATAAATAAATAAAATAAGAAAGGAAGACAACCTCTTGATCTACATCTGCACTGTCCTTTCGAAGCAACCAGACTGCTCTTCTAATCTGGAACAAACTTCCAGAAACCTTTAAAGATGCTGAAACCCTGAATTCCTTTAAATCACAGGAAAAACCTATTTGTTTACACCTGCACTCAATTAATGTTAACTGAAACATTAATTTTAATCTGATGTTCCGTCTTTACTTTTATCATCCCACTCCGATGTAGTGCTTTTTTTGTTTGTTGTTTCATATTTTCATCATGTAAAGCAATTTGAATAGTCTAGTTGCTGAAATGTAGAAATGTCTCACTGCCTGAGGACAAACAAATTGCCTTCCCTTTATACTTATACCTCACTTACAGCTCCTCAATGAGTATAATCTACAGAAAAAACTGTTTATCCTAAAAAAAAAAACCTGGCAGGTCACAGTGGGCTGAATCCAAGTGTAAAAATGAGAAGAAAACTGAGTGGAAGGTTAAAAGTGTGGCAGACAAAGGTGTAAACAAAGCAGAACTAACTTCAGTGTTGATTTGACTGTGAAGCAAAGACAATTCAGGCATTTGGTGGAGATTCACAAGGCATGGACTGGAGTCAGTGCTTCAAGAGCCCGTAGTTAGCCTCTAGAACAGAGAAGAACATGAAATTATAAAACATGCTAATGTTTATGTACATCTATAAATAAGAAAGCTAGCAATTTCAAAGGAGTTTTGTTTGCAAACTACTATCGATGAACTCATAATACTGAAAGTAAATGTGTTAAAATTCCATTCTATTGCCGACTATTGAACACTAGGTGGGATGGGACCCCTGAAAGCTTCCTTTAAATAGCCCGCAGACGGGGGCGCAATTCCAGGCATCTGGCAGCACCGTAACCTGCATTACTAGCCTCTATTGCAATGCGGTGGCGCTCCGCAGATCTTCCCCGGTATAGTGCGTGTTGGCTGTTTGGGGATAAAGCACAGCGCTATTCGGTCATGTGATTCCTGCCTTTTTTTCCCCCTCCTTCGAAGTTGAAAGGCAGGAGCAGAGCAGTGGAGGGGGCCCAGCTCAGCTCAGCTCAGCTCGTCTTTCCTGCTTGTCGTGGATGCAGCGTTTTCTCCTCCTTCTTCCACCACAGTAATATTTGTTTTTCGCTCGTTTTTTTTTGTTGTGAAACATTTATTTCACAATGGCGGGAGCTATAATCGAGAACATGAGCACCAAAAAGTTGGTGATACTGGGAGTTACTCTGCTTTTGTTTCAGGCGCTCGCCTTCATGGTCGGCGGGTTAATTGGTAAGTTTTTCCTCCTTTATCCCACTTTATCTGCTGCTTAGCTAATGCTCGCCTAGGTGTCCGCGCGCCTGTGAAAACGCAGACGGCAGAAACGGGGAAAAAACGCGGAGTTTAAAATAGTTTGTTGTTGACGTTGCACTTAACTTTTATCGGTCTAAAAAAAGCTTTTCACAGAAATAATAGCCGACCTGCTCTAACTTGTAGCTAACAACGCTGGCGGAGAGCACCCTCAGCTAAAAATCACTGCCTGCCTATCAAAGTGTTTGCTGCATGCTACGACTGCTGCCTTCCTTTCTTTGAACTACACTGGAGGCAGGGCCGGATTTAGCAGGATGTGGGCCCCTGGGCTAAAGCCAAGCTTGGTGCCCTACCCACATAAGTTTTTTTTTTAGTCTACATGGAAATGGTTTAGTCTAAAATGTCCACATAATGGCACCTTTTCTATAAATAAAAAATAAAGTCCTAAAATCTTAAAGTAATAATTCCAGGTTTATAACATCCAAGAAGAAATCATGACAATGAGCTATGGGAAAAGTTTTTCTCAGGTGTATATCAGACACGACCTGTTCAAAAGATGAGATTTTATGTTGGTGCTTGCTGAGGCCACAAGAATCTGATCATAAATATGACTGACCACACTGTCTAAAGTTTGCCATATCTTTTGATTCATTGACTGTTGATTATTTCAGATATCATTTTATCCTGAGATAAAAACAACTCTGTTCTATTAATATCAGTAGCATGGTTAAGGTGAAGTACTGTGAGCAGGGCATCCCAGGCATGCAAACCCCACCAACCACCTGGGCCTAGTGTTTTATTTTGGAAACTTGAATAAAATACTTTGTTTGCAAGCTAAACAAAAATGTGTATATATTTGCATGTTTTTGGGGTCCCCAAAACATCTGGGCCATGTAAGCCTTTGTAAAAAATGTGACTGGGAGTGAAAACTGGTTAAAACAGGAAAGGTCATGTTATCAGTTAGGCAGCATTTCAAATATTTAAAACAAAAACTAATCAATAATTATGTATCGGCTTATATGAAATGTATATCGTGATTATATTTTGAAGCCAATATTCAGCCTTATATCCAGTTATTTTCTCTCTTTGGAAAGCTCTTTAGAATTACTACAGAAAATAAATACCAGCGGAAAAAATGAACAATTTGTTAAATGCAAAATGGTAAAAAGTGTGAACTATGGACAGTATAAAAGGGGAATAGGTGGTTCTGTTAGGTGCTGAACTTAACTCAAGTTTGGCCCACAAATGCAATTCTGCTTAGGGCCTCGTTCTTCCAAATTAAGCACCGATGTCCCCTTTAAATTTGCACTACTTTGAAACAAACTCAAAAGTTCTTTCCTCCAGTTAATTTATTCAGTCTCACCTCCTCCTGTACGCATCTTCTGCTGTGTGTGTGGGGCCCTCAGGCAGCATCTCTACCTTCCCTTTACTCCCCCATGAGCGTCTTCCCTTTTCCCCAAATTCCTTTATAGTAGAAGACGGAGCCTACATTTTTCTTTCTCTTTCCCCGTCATGACAGCGATGCACAGAAACCCCCCAAACCCAGCTGTCAATCTTCAGTTTTGCCTTTGGTCTGAAAAGGAGTTGCTGTCAGGGTTCCTCATATCCTCTCTCTCTCTCTCTCTCTCTCTCTCTCTCTGTCTCTGTCTGTCTCTGTCTCTCTCTGTCTCTCTCTCTGTCTCTCTCTCTCTCTCTCTCTCTGTCTGTCTGTCGTTTTCTCTTTTTCTTTTAACACTGATACACATTTATACTAAGTTGCTAGAGGTTGAGTTCTTGCTAAAGATACCTGGGTTTGTCTTTGGACTGAACCTGGGAACTTCCAGAGTCCGACTCCCTCCCCACAGTCCCTTTCATCTCCAGCTACTTTTCAGATAAATTGGCTTGTTTGGCTTTTTCCTGGCTGAGATGGTTTTAATGAAGCCAGATTCCTTTGTGTTTGCTCGCCAGCCAGGGTCTGCGGGAGTAATTGAGAAGAAAGCCTTTTCTTTTTTTTTTCTTTTCCCTTCTTGTTTCCCAACAAACCCGGTGGCATGGCATGGGGTCAAGCGGGCTGAGGGGGCGGCCATCATTGTGGACCTGCTGGACTCACAGGTCCACCCCAGGGTAATTAAACTCCCTGGGGGCTTCCTTTTGTTGCCATGTATGAACACCAGTGGATCTATCTTAAGTTTACAGCAGTAACGTTTTTGAATTGGTATGTAATAATGCAACACAAATATCATATAATATATAATTTCAACATAAGTCATAATATTTAAAATCTGATTGTGCAATTGTTGTTATACTATAAAAAGTTTTGAGTAAGGAGATGGTTGGCTAGGTGGTGAAGTCATTAAAAAGTTACAATGAACTGGTTTTGTTGCCATAGACACCAGACACCAGCAACTTTTTTGTTTTAATTAAAACTAGTTGAAGAATTATTTTTTCCAGTACTGTATCTGTACTGTTTAAGTTTGATATATGAACCCAAAGCAGAAAGATTTTAACACTTTTTAATAATTAGTTTATTTATAATAATAAACTGTATAATATTGTGCTGATTATTAAAAAATGGCTTGTTTGGGACTGTGGTCAGATTATTGAGATTGGGTCATTACTGTAGGAAAATATTCCTGTCCAGTTGAAGGATATGCTGAAAAACTGCATATAGTAAAAAAAACAACCACGGCCCACACACATAAAACCTGCGTCATATTAAATTAGTCATCATCTCATTGTGAGAAGAGTGATGGAAATTTGGGTTAATTGCCATCATTTCTGTTATCACC